AGATAATTAAAGAATTTTATGATTAAATATTTAGTATAGGAGCGGTGAGATAGCAGAGTACTTGAACATCCATTGATAATAAGTTTGTTTGTATGTAAATTTATATTTATTCATGTAAGAAATGTTAGTCGTAGCTTTATGTAAGTGCGTGTGCAATGAAGTAGATTGATAGGTACTCGTACAATATTGTTAAAACATATTTTTTGTAAATATTACATTGTGCTCGTAAATGGCTGATAAGAGTAAAAACATTTTTTTTTGTTTTTGTCTTAATTTTTTGTTTATTCATTGCTCTTATTTTGTATCGAGTCCACTTAATTGTGCTCTTCAAGAATCGCTTTGAGAATTGTGTTCCAATGCCGAGTCACTTGCGTAGGCTGTGAACCAATTGTTTTGTTATGCATCTGTGCTCGTATGGAATAGTAGCTTATGTTGAAGGGCTGGCTTTAGTATAATGCGGCATCGCAGCATATGTACGATTTAGAATGACTCACTGGCGCCGAGCCGTTGAAGAACTTTTGGCAAATAAATGTGGAAGAAATAGTTCCGATACTAGCGAGACAATATTCTTATTAAGTCTAATCAAAAAATGCCTTGTCGTTTAAAGAATAAAGCGAATGTGCCCCATTATACTAAAGCCAGCTTCGCGACATAAGCTACTATTCCATACGAACACCGACGTACATATACGTATTGTAATATTTTTATTGCTTGAGAATTTTTATTTTCTAAGATTTTTACACTAGATGAAGCTGTGCTAAGATTAACACTGTGTTACTTGTTTTAATTGAAATGATTAACAAATATTTACTTATTTAGAATATATTTAAGTGTTAAGTATTATTGTTGTTGAAATTGTAAGTATTTTTAAGAAATGTGTATTATGAGCTTAAAAACAAGCACAATTTCAAGGAATTAAGAGATATTTTTTATATTAATCGCAATTATCAGAAATAAAGTTTTAAATAAGAGCGAATGCTTAACAAGCAATTCCAGCAATATTTATCTTCTTCTTGTTTGACGCTGCAAGCGATATTGACCATCGCACACTGGGATTTTTGTGGCGCTTTTATGCTTGAAATAAAAAAATGTGTATCAATTTTCTTTTGAACCAGTTTAAAATGAATAAAACTTTGCGTCAAAGGCAAAAAAAAAAAATGCTATTTTACGTTAACTACATATTGGTGTTCCATAATGTCGGTCGAACCATTTGTACGACTTCAGAATAAAAAAATTTATCGTACAAAAACGGAAGTCCCTTAGTAGAAAAAAAATTCTAAGGCTTGGAACAACGGAGGTCATAACTGGTGTAAACAACTAGTTCATAGCCTAAAGAAGTACAGCTTAGGTTGGGTTAGGTTAAAGTGGTTGTCCTAGGCAAGGGACATACTTGGACTGTTATGAGATTGTCCTTTGTGATACCACGAAAAAACTGGATGGAGACCATTAATTTAGTCGGCGAAACATAGCGAGCCGATTACAAAATTTCAAATGCGGCCAATTTCCATACCTGAGAGTTCAGTGTTAGTTAAAAAATGTGAGCCAAAATGTATCCCTCTTAGCCCCGCGAAGGTTGGACAGTCTAAACGAAAGTGTGGAGATGATTCCTCTTGACAGCTGATACAAAAGGGGTCAGTTGAGATTCCTAGTCTTACCGCGTTTATACCAATCGCACAATGACTTGGCACTTTTAAGGGCATGATTGGCGCTGTAAAGAGTATTTTAAAGTGCCCTACAAAAACATTTTGTTCAGCAAAGAAACGCCCTCTTTTCCTTTTTATGTCACAAAAGGAGCATCGCTTTCTTTTGTCCATTTTATTAGGTATTTAGTTGAGAATGCAACACTCTAAAAAATCTGTTTGAAAATGCGACTCAAGTGCGGGTGCTCGTCTGTGGCTCCCAGGCAGTATCAAGTACTTAAGCTTAATTAACTGGAGCGTTTACAGCCGATCGCCCCAAATCGGAATTAGTGGAACATTAGGAACCACACCTACACCGCCACAACAACGACTTAACATCATGTTCAACACGGCGTCTGCGGATATTGCAGACAGAATTGTCGCAGCCCGAACTGCTATTTGGCTCAGGGAAAACGGGTTGTAACACTCGGTCTCCCAAGGCACACAAAGGTGCTACAATTTAACTGTAACGGACTCCAGAGCAAGATCGAGGAGATAACTGTCTTTATGGGAAGGCATGGAATATTAATAGCTGCGGTCCAAGAGACGAAGTTGAATGGCAATTCAACCCTGTTGAATTGCGCCGGATACAACGTGCACCGTCGAGATCGCGAGCGAGATAATGGTGGAGGTTTAGCGTTCATCACGCACCACACCGTGCAGTATCGTCTCATTGAAGCAGACATCGACCGCAGGGATACAATCCTAGAATGTCAGGGTATTGCTATCCGGTCAGGCGATGTTGAGCTCGAAATATTTAACGTATACATACCCCCTGTCACCAGCTGCCCGGCAGGATGTCACCCTGAAATAGGTGCGCTCCTCAGAGGTGAAAACCGTATGGTAGTTGGTGACTTTAATGGCCACCACGATCTTTGGCANCGGCACTCAAGCCTGTCAAATGATCGTAGGAGAATACATCTGGCTGAGCAGATAGACGATTCGACATTCTGCACAATGAACGACGACGCACCCACCAGGATTATGGGCAGCTGCTGCAGCTCGCCAGATCTAACAATTGTCAGCGCTGGTCTGATAAACAGCGTATCATGGCGACCTATGCTGACCCTAGCATCAAACCATCTGCCCATAGTCATATCGATTGATAAACCTGCCGACTTTGCTTCCGTGGATCACCGGACTTATGTCAACTTTTCCAAAGCTGACTGGAAAGGCTTCACGGATGTTACTGAGGGCGCCTTCACTGCACTACCCATACCAACCGGCGTTGATGTAGGTGAACGTAAGTTCCGCAGGGTTGTCGCCGCTGCTGCAGCTCGCTTCATCCCAGCAGGATGTATTAAGGATCCACGTCCGAACTTTCCTGCAGAAGCGGCTGCTCTAGCCGATAAGCGCGACAACCTTCGTCAGGCCGATCCCGGAAATCCCCGTATCAGGGATCTCAATTCGGAGATTCGGCAACTTGTGAACGTATATAAGCGGAAGAAATGGGAAGAGCATTTGATGACCTGTAACTTCGCCTCTGGTGCAAGCGAGCTTTGGTCAACCGTGAGGTCGTTGTCCAACCCGACGAGCGTGACGGCAGAGTCGAGATAGACTTTGGTGCCCACGCTTCGTCGAACCCGGAGCGATGCGTGAGCTATTTTAGCCGGCAGTTCATTCTGTATCCTCCGGTGGATAAAGCCAAACGTCGATTGACCAGAAGGCTGCACAAACTGCCAATACCTAGTGCGCCTTGTTTTCACCAGCGGTGAAGTAAGGGTAGCCATCGGGAAGGCGAAAACCTTCAAAGCCATAGGATCCGACGGAATTTCCATGTTGATGCTGAAAAATTTGGGTCCTGGACTATCTAAACAATGTCCTCAACCTCTCCATGGCCACCATAAGCATTCCAGACATCTGGAGTGGTCCCACTGCTTAAACCGGAGAAACCGTCCAACAAAGGAAAGTCCTCCCGNCACATCTGAAAAATGGGGAAACCAGCCAACAAAGGAGAGTCTTATCGCCCGATAACTCTCCTTTCCCCGGTAGCGAAGACACTCGAGGCCCTGCTGCTCCCGTACTTCACGAACCACCTGACCCCAGCGAAGCATCAACATGGGTTCCGTAAAGTGCATAGTACAACAACAGCACTTAACGCCAAAAACACTCAGATAACTCGTGGCCTAAACCGAAACCGCCGCTGTGAGAGAACTATTCTAGTAGCGTTGGACCTGTCCAAGGCGTTCGACACTGTCAGTCATTCAACGCTACTAGAAGATACAGAGGCCTCCTCACTCCCACAGGGACTCAAACGGTGGTCGGCGAATTACCTGAGTGGTCGACACTCGTCAGTAATCTTCAGAGACAAAACCAGCAAGCCACAGGGTGGTGTTCTGTCCCCGCTACTGTTTANGTATGGACAGCCCCTTTGGAAGCAGCACACTTCCTGGGCCTCCCCCTAGCTGAAATAGGCGACGACGTTGATGGATGAACCGCCCCGAATGGGGCTTAGTAGCCGCTACAACAACAACAACCCGCACTTGAGGGAAGAGACACAAGGGATATCTTGTTCTTCCTGGTAAACAAGACTGGTTCCATATTGCTGAGAATTGGTGTGAGGCCGCCGTTGACCGCCCAGCTAGTTACCTGTTCCAGGTAACTTTGATGCAGATCGAAAATGGTGTCTAAGAAATCTTCTCTTAACCAGAGTCCCACATCATCTACATTGGCGATCACTCGGATGCCCACTTTTTCAGTACCTCTAGAAGGTCGTTTACAACCGCAATTCAGAGCAGGGAGAGATAACACCATCTTACGGAGTGCCCTTATTGACTCTGCGCTGAGAGCAGGTGCTCCCCCCCCCCGCCACGACAGTTCTGTCATGAAGTAAGCTTGGTTTCAACGCCCAAATTAAGAATAGACCTGACTATTGCCACTGGAGTGACATTGTTGAAGGCCCTTACTGCATAATCTTTATGCGTGAAGGCTTACCCTAGCCACCTAACTAATGTGTGCAGCGCGGTATCCACCGACCTTCCTTGCAATAAGCATGCTTTCTTATCTATAGGTCTATCAGTCTCTCTAGCGTAATAGGTTTAAGGCAATAGAAATATAGAATAGAAATATAAAATAGAATAGGTAATAGAAAGGTTTAAGGCAATAGCATAGTACATAATATATACTATATTATATTGCACAACTAGATCTAAAGTGAGCTAACTCAAAAATCAGACTCGGAAATAAAATTGCTTGTGGATCGTAGAGATTCAAAGCAATTAAAACAAAAACAGGCATAACAGTAGTTTTTTATATAGTCATTACAATACAATAATTTTATATTGTAAATAATCATGAAGAAAAAAATATTTGCATTAATTTGAGGTAAGTCCTAGGAAATTATTTATGCAAAAAAATCTTCCGAATTTTTTTTTTAGTTGATCGCACTTTAGATCTAGATGTGCGATATGTAAAATGCAGCAAACTGTCCAATATTGGCTTCAGGGGGACCTTTTTCCCGCCTTCCCATGGAAATGCATTATCGACTAATAAATAATAAATAATAACATAAAGCATTTTGGACAATTATCAATATCTGAGAGATTAGCAAAATCCGTCCTCCCGCTTACACCATACAATACAATTCCGTGAAAAAGTAATTTTGTCCAGCTAGCTTGTTCTTAACAACACACTGTGCGCCGGGTATAAAAAGCTCGGTTTCGCTTGAACTTCCGTCCTCTTTATTTGTTTTATGTTGAATTGTATCGAATTTTGGAAATCATTATTTGTAGACAACTACCAACTTCAATTCGTCCAGCACTTCACATAACAAATTAATACCTATCATGGTCGTTTTAAAAGTGTTCTTATGAAAAATAAAACATTTTTCGATTCAACCTTTTAACATTTAAATACTAAATATCTTTTTGCCGAATTATCTTAGGCATAAACTTAAAGTTTCCATTGTTTTCTTTTTCACATCACTCATCCGTCACCTGCGATTCCTTGCCCTTACTCGCCTTCTTGCTCTTTTTCTTCAAAAACTCACTCTTATCCAAATTATTCTGGAAGAATGTAGTTTCTTTACGCGCTTGCGATACTTCGGTGTTCAGACGTTGTTTATGTACGGCTTGTTCGTAGTTCATGCGCTCGGTAAGATGCACCCATTTGAAGCGTGGCAAATATTTCATGCTCCACAGATAGTCATAGAATTGCGACTTTTTACGGGTGGAAATTTGTTTATTATTTAAAAGCTCAACAATTTGTTTGGCCAC